TCCCAACCTCGATCCAACCCCCTCCCTAGCCCCTGTACAACCGGTCTCCCACCCTCACACCCTCGCCCCAACCCCCGCACACCTAAAACAAGGTGGATGAAACCGCTACATTGCCACCTAAGCTTGCTCTCCTATGCTCGATTCAAGCCACTGCCTCGAAGCCCTAACCACACCACCGCATCGCCGCCATAGCCGCAAACCCTATTTATCCCATCCACAATCAGTTAGATAGAGTAGAAGATAAATTTGGGTTTTCTTGGCAGTGTCAACGATGAAGATAGAAGCGGCAACTAAGGTATTTGTTGTTTCGGCGGCTAAATTCGGCCTCGACCGATCTGGTGCAACTTGGAGCAAGGAGGGGACGAGTGATCTAGAGAAGAAAGGAAGAATAATGACAAATATATAACCGAAATAAAGTTAGTGACACATATGACTTTTGTATTTTAGGGACTATTGTTTTAATTTTAGTGATTATAATTGTATTCAACTTTACATTATATAGACTATGCATATTAACTATACTAATATTTTTATTCATAACTTTTATTTCAATAATATTTAAGGAAAACAATAACATTATTTTTATCTTTTTCTAGAAAAAATAGATACTCTAAACGTTCGAGTAGACAACAAATATTCCTTCGAAAGTATGTGTCGTTAAACTATTTGGCACATGACGTGTCAACAAAGTCATACTAAACGTTCAACACTTCACCCAAGCGATTCATTTCCGACCAACAAAAAGTCTGCCTCGTTTAACACTCCAGACACGTGACACTCCTCTCTTCACCGCCGGCGACACCGCATTGCTGAATTCTCCCGACCGCCGGGCACTAACCTCGTCCCGACCATCTCCCAATCTCGTGCTATGAGCGCCATAGCTCAGCTTATTGCAGTAGGGAAGCCTAGCCCTAGCTTGACTCCATCTTTGACGCCTTCTTCCGCGTCGAAGCTCCGATTCGGGTCCTTTCTCTCAGTCGGACCTGCCCGCGGTTTCAGAGATTTGGATGTGGATCGCCCTATTTGCTGCAATGGACTGCGTCCTGGGCTCCGACCCGGCCCTGTTTGCAGGAAGAGGTCTCTGTTTTCATGTGCTGCTTCTACTGATGAACCGGTGAGCATTCTGTTACAATAATTTTCTTTATGTATTTAAAAAAAATCTAAATGCATTATGGAATTATACAGTTTTGAAAATTTTAATATATGTAGTTCCATTGTAAAAAATATAACCTCACATGAAAAGTAGCCAAGCTGTGTTAGAAAATATTTTGTTTTTAAATTTGTGTTCTTTTTTAGTGTTAGTCGTTCAAGTTAACTAGTTTGAATGAGTAAGAAGAGTTTCTTTGTTTTTCGGATAGTATTGCACATAAGTTTATGTAAAGCTGTGCCTAACCAACAGAACAGGGAAGCTATCGTTTATCTAATTATATACATATATCATTATCATTCACGAATTCACAGTATATGCCCATTTGTATAAATTTTTATGTATATGTTTATGCAAAAATCTTTTTTGAAGTACTTTTTGTTAGTTTGAGACTTTGAGCGTGACATGAAAGTAGGAGTTCAATGCAGATGCCAAAAATAGATAATGTTGAGTGAAATGATGATATGATTATTCACTAGGTTTGTTAGTGGTGCTGATAAGGTTTGAAGCCATAATCCATGAGTTGGGTTTATGTAATGGTGCACTTTTCATACAGTCTAACGCTTGGTGTGTTGTGTAGTTTATATGTTTTATAGTTTGCTTGGTTTATTCTCATGAATTAAAATTTCATGTTGTCTATTCAGGAGCCTGTAGAAATTAATGTTGAAGTGGAAAAGGGCAGCCTTAAAACAGATGAAGAGAAAACACAAGATGTCTGGGAAAGGAGCTTAGGTTATATAAGAGAACAAGCCATAAAAATGCGGAATCTATCACCAGAAGCATATGATGAATATTCCAAGAAGGCCATCAGCATTTTGAAAGAAACTTCAGAAAAAATAGAGGCTCAATCCAAGAAAGCAAGAAGTGATTTGAGCATGATTGCAAAGGAAATAAGCAAGGAAAGTAAAGAATATTTTGCTAAAGCTTCTGAAAATTCTCCTGAACCTGTAAAGGATATTGTTGAAACATTTGCTTCATCAACTAATGAACTGAATGATGCCTCGAAAATTCGTGACTTTCACCTTGGAATACCATATGGTATGTAGACAGTAGTCATATGCCTTAATTTTGTTTAAATGCGCCGTTTTAGCACACAGAACATTGTATTCATCTTAGATAAATTATTACATGCTGTTATGGTTTCCTTAATGAATTTTTCATCCTTAATCCTTTGCCAGGTGCTCTTCTTTCTGTCACCGGGTTTTTGTACTTCATGCTGACAGGAAGCATCAATGCCATCCGGTTTGGGGTTATACTTGGTGGTACACTTTTGGCCTTGAGTATCTCAAATCTAAGATGTTGGAGAAAGGGAGAATCAACTTCTCTCGCTTTAAGAGGAGAGACAGGTTTGTATTTCATTGTGTTATAGTGGCTGTGTTGCCATAGGAGTCTTTTATTTACATTCTCTCCCATACCTCTGCTACAATATTCTCCCTCTTATATCTGCAAGAGTTATCATTTTTTTCTGGGACTCGCTCTATGTTATACTAAACCATATCACTAATTACCCATAGTTTAAGGACCTGTTCATTTGGAGAGAGTCTTTTTTTTTACTCCCTCCGTCCCATTTTACCTGTCCTACTTTCCTTTTCGGGTTGTCCCAAAATAAGTGTCTTCTTTCCTTTTTTGGAAAGAAATATGTGGCCTACACCATTTCACTTTATTATACTCAAGCCTCAACCACAAATTTTACTTTTTCAACCACTACATTAATAACCGTGGCAAGTCAAACTAAGACACATAAAATGGGACGGAGGTAGTATTATTTAATACTACGTATATTGGTTTAGTTTAGTTTGTCCATCTAAGTCAGGTTTGATTTAGACTTTCTTGTCTGATCTGGATTAGTTCCGAAATAAGTTCAATTGAATTCCTAATTTTCAGTGTTTGAGTCATCACTATATACTCTGTAACCCAGTTTTGTTTTACTGACCCTGTGAGGCTGTGAGTCTTGGGTTAGTTGGATATTTCATAGTGGTGTTTATTGGTTTGTTTTGTTTTTGCAGCAATAGCTACAATTTTGTTTCTAAGAGAACTGCGCCTACTGTTTCAGGTAAAATGGTTATTGTCCCCCGTTAATCCTTGCTCTAGAGTATTTTAACTATTAACTGATACGAGTAATTCTTTGGTTAATTGTGCCTCGCCTGGTGTGTAAATCTAATCTTGTATCGTTATGATTTGCAGAGTGGATTCTATGTCAACTTTTTTACAACCTTAATCAGGTTACAATTCTTCTATACTTTCATGATTATCATGTACTCCCGTACTATACTAAGCGACACTAGTTTCGTAACCTAATTGATAAAGTTCATGTAGACACAGTTAGCGGTTATTTATGATAAACAGGTCATAAACTAATTGTGAGATGTTAGTTTGTCGGACAAATTGACAGTTAACTTTGTTCCCTGCAGTGGCTGCATGGCAGCATTCTTTGCAAGCAGGATGTTGATAAGCGATGACGAGCAAATCAAGGGCGCAGAAAATTGATGGTTATGAAAGGTTAAATAAGTTTCAGTTACTACTTACTACATACGTAGTACTACATATGTTTTTTGGGCTTCATTCCTTTTCTTTTGTTCTACAAAAGCTTATAAGTTATAAAATGTCCATATTCCTTAATTTCAGGGCCAGCTCAGCAGCGTTCATTGCAATGACATATCGAAATCATTCTTCGTGAGAAACCATCTTTTAGATCACATGTAATCATTCTTTTTATTAAACCATAAAATGATGTAATGATTTAAGTACTGTAATAAGTTTCCCTGCCCGCATTGGGAGGAATACCCTTCCATGTCATTAATTCCTGTTTATGTTGTGCCCAAGGCTCCAAGCAGAGTTTCATCATGCATGCATTGGCATTTAGCAATGGTGTGTTTCCAAAAACTCCTACGATTAAGTTGCCGCGTTTCATCTAGGAATGTCTCTCCATATTACATTCTCATTTTCATAAATGCAAAATTATTAAGAAGAAAACATTAATACTCGAAGGTTGAATAACAAGAATTTGATAGTCTGGACATGTTTACAGTTAGGGATGGACTCGAGCCGCGCGAGCCCCGGAACCGGCCCGGACCGGTCACTGTTTGAACCGGCCCGGCCCGGGAACCGGGCCATAGGGCGGTTCGGGTCGACTCGGCCCGCTAGTCATACGGTTCGGGCTCGCGCCCTAGGAATGGTGAACCGGCCCGGCCGGTTCGGGCCCGTTCCGGGCCAAATTTAATTTTTTTTAAGTTTGGGGTCATTTGAGGTGGTTTGGAGTGGTTTGGGGGTGAGGGCCCATTTGAGGTGGGTTGGGCCATTTGAGGTGGTTTGGGGTGGTTTGGGGGTGAGGGTGGAGGTTGAGAGTTGATTAGGAGAAGCCAAAAAAAAAAAAGATTGGACCGAGGCCCGGCCCGAACCGGACCCGGGGGTTACCCGGGCCGGTTCCGGGCCTCCCATATCCTGAACCGTGAACCGGCCGGGCCCGAACCGGCCCGAGGCCATGCCTATTTACAGTACGGAGATACAAATTTAGTCTTGCACCCTTTGCCGGCAGGAATGAATCCAGTTCCAACAGGGATCATCCGGCTCTGGAATTGGGCTGGTAAACCACCACAATTGGTGTCTGTTTTCTAGACATCTAGTTCTGAGCTGGAACCGTTGCTCGAACCTGGTCGGAAGGCAGAACAGCTTTAAACCCCAGCTTTTTCAAAATGAGACTGGAATCTACTTTTTTTAAAAACTGTTTTTTGGAAGAAAGCCTAAATCCAAACTAGAACTGACTCATAATTAGAGCTGGTTGACTGGAATGAGGTTTAAATTCCATGCCTACTTGCTAAGTTGCTAAGGTATACAACGAAATACTACAATAAGAGTGAACCATGAATAGTATATACATATGGTGACATGGCCGTATATATGGCCATATACATCGCCATATGGCCATATAATTGTTTTATAGTAAAATTTGGATTACTTCTGTCCTAGGTTTAGTAAGTCCTATTTTTAGGAGGGGGGCAAAATCTTGGCAAAATATGTTACAATTAATCTTATTATTGGAGTTTCTTCTGGGATATCCCCGTATTTTGTCTAAAGAGAAGACATCATACACGCAAATTTCCTATCTACCTAGCTTACTGGAGCTTAATGGATGTCCTACGGATTACATACATATACATGCGTAGACATCTTTTGTCCATTAAATGGAACATTTTATCCAAGAAGGCAGTGGCATATCTGCTGCTAAAAGGAGGATGGACCTTGAGCTTAAAAAGAGAGGGTTTGGTTCTGGATCAGCAACGGAGGACATGTCTCTTTACACCACCAAGTAACACCACCGTGTGGGCCACCATTCAGCTGCGACAGGAGGAGCTTGATACTCAGAAGTTTCCCTGAGAGACAATGTGGTTGGGGACCTCCCCTTGATTGTCTAAGGGCATGTACTGCGCCATGATGGCACGAATCTCTGAATCCATGTACCTCTGCAGAGAGGGGACATTTTTAATCCAAATGGAATCAATAGATTAACAAAATGAATGCATGTGATATCTAACTCTGTTCGATAGCCAAAAGTGCGTATTCTCCTTATCGGCGTAGAAAACCAGTACACGAAAGACTCATAGCCCGTTTGGTAAGCTTGAATGAGCCAAGCTGAAAGACTGAAAATTCTGCCAATAATCACCAAACGACCCATGATTTGGCTGATTCTGCCTATAATAATTTATAGGCAAAAATGAGCCGTACCCTTGACTTTTGTGGCTGATTTAAGCTCAAATGACACAACTCCCAATTCTTTATACAATTATACTGTCTCAAACTAAGAGTTTATCAAGTCTCCTTTCACATGATTACACAGTAAATCAATTATTCAAGCCAAAAAATCACCAAACACCCTTTATACTTCAACCAATTAAGTTCATCAACCATTCCAGTCATTTCAAAAACCATCCAGCGGGCTCTTAGAGCCTGTTTGGTAGGCAATAGTGGCTTGGTCTTCTTACCTTTGTACTAATGAAAATAAGTCAAATAAGCTTTTGACTTGATTATTTTCCTGAAATGGATTCTACAAAACGCTTTTACTTTTAGAAAATTCAGCATGTCAGCCAAATAACTATTACTAAACAGGCTCTATGATGCATGAAACTGAAGGGGAATTGTCAAATAAGTGAATAAAAAATGTAAGCAACACATACCTGGATTCTGTACTTGTACACAGCATATCCTGCAAGTCCCGCAGCAGCCACTCCAAGTATGATGACCCAAACGGAACCCCAGCTAATCTCGGTATATGCAGCTTTACCTGCTTTCCAGAGATTAAAAATACATTTAAACAAAACCTAATTGAAAATTGAAAGTAAAGCCTAATAAAGAAATTAAAGTGTGCCATGATAGTTAATTTAGTTATGGAAGTAGATTGGAATTATAACTGGATATAAATTCAAAGCATTTTTAATGCTAAAAATGAAGCGCATATCAACTGAAAACGCCATTTACACCAAACAAAGACTTTGATGAACTTACTTATACATGTGTCATGCTCAATCATGTATAACAGACTACCACGACAATTGCATTCATAGCCTCCCCATGTGTTCTTGCATTTACATTCAGGGCATTGACACACTGTTTTCTCCTTGCATTCATCAATATCTGCAAAACGGCCAAAGTTGAAATCAATTGTAATGCATCTCTAAACGAATTATTACAATTTATAACCTTCAAAATCTATGGATTAGGCTCAAGTGCAAGGAACATTGTAAAGATTTTTATTGTTAGAACCACAAACGTGACCTTAACTCCACATTAGTATGATATTGTCCGCTTTGGACCAAGCCTGCACGGGTTTGTTTTTCGCCTCCCAAAAGGCTTTACCGCAATGCAGTCGGACATAATTCACATTCCAGATGATTCTCACTTATCACATCACTTATGGTATTTATGACAGAAGCAAATAGTAATAAAATCTACCTTCACAGGTACTAACCCCATCACCTTTGAAACCTTCAAAATCTATGGATTAGGCTCAAGTGCAAGGAATATTGTAAAGATTTTTATTTTTAGAACCACAAACGTGACCTTAACTCCACATTAGTATGATATTGTCCGCTTTGGACCAAGCCTGCACGGGTTTGTTTTTCGCCTCCCAAAAGGCTTTACCGCAATGCAGTTGGACATAATTCACATTCCAGATGATTCTCACTTATCACATCACTCATGGTATTTATTTTTTTGGACATAATTCACATTCCAGATGATTCTCACTTATCACATCACTTATGGTATTTATGACAGAAGCAAATAGTAATAAAATCTACCTTCACAAGTACTAACCCCATCACCTTTGAAACCTGGAGGACAGAGGCAACCCTTTGTGCGGTCCTCCTGAAAAAGGCACAAAAAGAAATTAAGAAACACTCACCACTTTCCTAAAGGGTGAATTAAAAAATATGCAATGTAGCAACAAAAAGCTGCTCACATTGCAAGCAGAATATGTTAGACCATCCCTCGTTTGCTTCCAACAACCCCCATTATTAAGTCGACATCGCAGTGCTCCAGGTGCTATTAAGCCCACAAGAAAGCAAGAGCATTAGACACCACCCCAGTAGAAGGTTGATGAATTATTTAAACTACGTGTTTACCTTCACAATGAGTGTAACCATCACCAACAAATTCCACACCTTGCACAGTGGGACAGCCGCACACCCGCCCACGGAAAGTGTCCTACAGCAGAACTGAACAATGTGAGTGGGGTGTTGATGAAAGCTTCGGAATCCCAACAGAAAAGTGTATTATGGGAATTAATATACTACTAGTAGTTTACTACCCTGCATGCTGTAATATTAGCATCTTTATCCTCCCAGCATCCACCATTGTTCACTAAGCACTCATTTGTTTGTATATCTGTGAAGAAAATTGAGGAAATAACTTGAAAACACATTTTCATGGCGCAAAGCATTCCTACCTAGTCTAAAGGATAATTACACAAAATGTTGAAACACATACTCTAACTAAATTTATCATATGTAACTTGTTTGGGACTCTCTGTCAGGTTCTTTTGGCAAATATCAATCAAATTAGCTTAAATTTGATTAAAGTGAACTTAATTTTTGGGACAGAAAAGATTCTAAGAGTGCAGAAAATTACCATCAGTTAAGCAAATTGACGGCTCTGTTGTCTCCTCAAATCCCGAGCAAATAGCCTTAAGAACGGCTCCTCTGTCCAACTTCCCTACAATTTGTATAGTGAATATTAGTGATTAACAAAATTGGGATTTCTAACAAGTACCCTGTATAAAGTAAGAGAGAGGATACCTCTATACTGTCTGTTGTTTAAAACAATAGTAGGCAACATAGTAACATCTCCACGAGAACCTCTGCCAATCTGAAATTTGAACAAAGAAGTAGAAACTTCACCCGAGGAAGCACAAAGTTATTTACTAAAACTTGAAATTCCATCATAAAATATCAACTTAATAGGTGAAATAGTCCGACATCTTAAAAGTAAATTTGAATATATACATAGATAGTGGTTCGATTGAGTATATCGATCATGGAATCCTTGTGCTCTTTTTGAGTTTTAGTAGGATCGAGTTGCTCATTTGAGCGAATTAGGCTCTCAAAAAGTTCAAGTTAATAGAATGGATAGTCCAATACTCCAAATGTCTTATATATGGCTTTGTCTTTAGATCTAGCCATGTTTAAAAAAACAATTGTAGCTTAGAGATATCAATATTTATTAGAAGGTTCACACCTGTGCTTCCTGTTCTGACTTTAGAACAGGGTTCTCAGTATCTTCCTCAGGATCCCCAACACAATCTTCTATCTGTTTAAGATCAATGCCTATGTTCCATTGCAGTAAACCAAGGTAAAGAATTAGTAATGACTCATATTCCGAATACGGAAATTTTTAATCAGAATATAACATGCATGATATTCATGTAACAGAAGAATCACAATTATGGGAATTATAAATGCACAAATACATCTACATGAGCTATATATATAAAAATAAAGGTCAAACATATCATGAAGTCATATATACTCCCTCCGTCCCATTTATTTTGTCCCGTTTTACCTTTTCGGGAAGTCCCACTTATATTGTCCCATACCATATTTGACAATGTTTGTGTGGCTCTAAATCATTTTTACTTTATTCTTACTTTATCAATTAATATCAACCACACAAACCCACTTTTCTTAATAACCGTGCCACCCTCTTCCGGGACAATATAAATGGGACGGAGGGAGTACACATCATTACGAAGTGTCACTAACATAGATTTTGAAATTAGTTTATAAATCTCTAAGACTCCTGTTCCGTGTGAAATCTGGGAAATGCTATGAAGCAAAAATGGGGAGGAAAATTGTAAGGAGAGAAAGTATAGGTGAAATTTAAAATTTGTTTAAATCAAGAATATGTTGTAGATATTTTTGCAAACTCAATTTATTTAAATATTTCTATAACTTAAAGTCTATCAAATCTAAAGATATGTAAAATTTTCAGCTATTAATTAAATCATAATTGCAACAATTTCTTTCCTTGCCACTTTCTGTATTCTAAATATAACATTTAAGTGAAGCGGAATATGACATAGGACAACACAAACACTTGTGCCTACCAGTTAATTGAAAGTCACTTAACAAAGAATAATAATCCAAAGTTACCAATAACCTACCAAGTGATCGCATTACTTGATCGGCACACTCTTTGGTGTACTTCTTATATTTCATTGGACAACGGACAGAAAAATCCGTAACATAATCCCACCAAAGCCATGGCCTTCCACTTTCATTAGCCACCTTAAAGAAGCAAGCTTGGCGCAAATTTTGCAAAACAACATCTTTCCCATCATAACCCTGACTAAAGTCTTGCTCTGGATCTGGTGCACAGTATCTCCCATGGTTGATACACTGAGATTTGCACTGTTTGCTCAAAACAAAAGCCTCCGGGCAGAACCAAGTTATGTAATGTGGAGTGAACTGAGTATATCCTTTCTGCTCAAGTATCTGGGCAGCTCCTTTGAAATCTTTGATGAATCCTATCTGGCTACTGCACTTGGGCCCGCATTCGTCGTTACTGTTTGTCCAGAACTCATACTCAACTCTCTCATCAGGATGTGGAAGAGATTCTCTCCAATCAAGACTTATGACGACCATTTCTTTTGCTTTAGAGTGTTTCTTTTTTATTTTATCCCCAAGGGACTTGCTAATAAGTGCAGATGGAATGGTTATCTTTTGTAGATAATCTGCACTTGAATCCTCTTCCTCTGGGGTATCCATAGTGATCAAAGGCTCAACCCTGTCATCAGCAACCAGAATTGCCGCTGCTCCGGCTTTTTGGGCATTCCACGCCTTGAGAGTGAAGTAACAATCTGCCAGAGACAACCACAAATACAAAAAAATACATGTCAGGGAAAAAACAACTAAAAAATATAGATAACATGTTAAGACTGGGTTTTAGCCGATGTGGCACACATCCTTCAACACCCTCATGTCCCTTTCAACATTTCTTCTTATAGAGACACACACGGCCATACACTTATGCATTTTTTCATGGAGGCCGACACACAGATTAAAAGATTAATTAATCTAATAATAACAAGCTGTTCAAATCTTATAAGATTAACCTCATCGTAATAGAAGATTAAAGCCTTATATGTCCTTACCTCCGTCCCACAATTGAGATATGAACAAGTGACACAATAATTAAGAAAAGTTAAAATATTTGATTTTTATAAACTTTTTAAAAAAAGGATGACACTCCATCCCTGAGGCCCCCATAATCGACCGACCTGGAAGATGTAAGTTGAGCTATGATGACACTCTTGTGGAAAGAGAATGAGGTTCCATCACAAGTCACAAGTCATTGCATAGAGTCGTATAAAATTTAAAAAGTACAAATTAAGTAAAATGAATTAGAATCACATTGATATTACTAAATATGGCATGAGATAAATGTAGTTATATTTAATGCATTTTCAAATTAAATCTAGTTATACTTAATGCAGTAAATCCACTTCGAGCAACAACAAAACATGACCACTAAATTAATGAATTATCATCAACTAATAAAACAGAACACAATGAAATTTATAAAAATAAAAAAGAAGAAAGCAAAATAACCTCCACGATCGACTAGAAGGACGATAGGCATGCCACCAGGCCTGGATTTGAAGGAGACGCCATCGAAGCTGTTGCATGCCTTCTGGTTGGAGCTTGGATAGACCACAGTGCCCGCCATGCTTCCCCCATACTGCGGAACCCCGAAATTCCCAATCGCACACTCGTACACGCCTTTGATGGAGTCAGGGGATGTCACTTTCAGGCTGTTCTTCTCCACAACGAACCGACCCAAACAAGACCCACACAGAACAAACCACAAACACATTACAGGCCATTTCGCCTCCCTCATCTTCACTCTTCCTCGAGCACCTCAACCAAACAAGACAGAAGAAGAAGAAGAAATGGAAAAAAACTACCCAGACGAAGAAAGAAAAATGTTCTCGACTTTTCAGGGATCAAAGCATCACAAGTTCAAAACTTGATCAAAAATAAATCCTTCATTGCAAATTAACGGCAGCCGAGATCGTAAGCAGTTGCAGTTGCACACCCGTGAACTCCGTGATCAAGCATATTGCACTTAACCAGGTATTTTATGTTTTTTTGGAAAGCAGATACGAAGTATTTTATGTTAAAAATGAGTATAACACAATAATAAGGTTAAGAAAAAAAAATTGTTGTTTTTTTGGCAATTCTTTCTAACTAATCTATTATACGGAGTAGTATATTACTACGTATGTAGTACTACCCCCGTTCTTAAATAAATGCAACACTTTGACTTTTACATTATTCACATGTTCTACTTTGACTACGTTTTATTTATTAATGTAATAATACTATTTTATGAAAAAAATATTGTTAAACTTGTCTCATTGTTAATTTTTATAATATAATTTTTTTAACTTTTTTTTACTAATACAAAATCATTTATATTAATGGTCAAAGTTGTGTCTCGGCAAGTGTAAGATGTTGACCGTTGCATTTATTTAAGAACGGAGGAAGTATGTTTTATGTTAAGGTCAACACAGATCAAATTCAAACTTATGACATCTTCTTTGCAAGTGTGATGTCATCAGATCACAAGGTACTTGACAAATTTTGTTATTAATCAGTAGCACAATTGAGTATACAAAGAAATGAGTTTTGATATTAAATCATTGTATTGATAGCACAATTGAGTATTGTGAGCATGTAATTGAATATCACGGTCTACATATAATATATATGCTACAAATAAACTTATTCACTTAATTATATGAAACTCATTCAATTGAGTTTCGAACCCTTATGTGCCTAGCGGGTTTCGAACTCGAGACCTCCCATTAGGCACAGTAACCTCACAATCAGCTGGGTTGGAATGCTTGGTTACAACCATATGCTTGGTTCAGTATGTGCACCTTTCGTTTAGGTCATTCTCACCTATCACCTTATGAGAAATCCCACCAAAATCATGCCCTAACTAATCATAAGTTTATTCGACATGATAAATGTGGAGTACACTTTTAAAGTTGCACAATAAAAATGATATAAGTGCACTAAATTTTTAAAAAGAACAATATTTATAAAAGTGCATTGTGATAACATAAAAGTTGCACAACATATAGATGAAATTTATACAGAATATGTTTCAAATAATTAGCACAAAACAAAACAGATAGAAAATTGTAGTATTAATAAAATATGGGGGGAAATAATAAAACCAAGCATGCCTATATTGACCATATGAAATTAATTTCCATATTTGAATTGAGCAATTTCAATAGAAAACATCTAAAACATTGTTGATGGTTACAGAGCATTATTTACTAACATTGTAACCTCTTCGTTAGTGGTTTTAAGTTGTGTGTATTTTCATTTATGTCACCGTTTCACTAATGATCTAATACCATTGATTTGAGATTTTAAATGATCAAGATTTGTTCTCATTTTTCCATTAAGAGGGTGCTCTCACATGAAACATATCCAATGGGCGTATCATGTACAGATTGTGCTTATTGTGCAAATATTTGTACAATGCATCTTTACATTATTTGTATTGCATATTGAGGCTCAAACTTCAAAGTGTTGCACATTATTCGGCCATAAAATAGAAGTTGCATATTGACATTCAAAGAATTACATCATAAAAAAAGTTGTTTTTTATTACAAAAATGTCATTGTGTCTTTATAGCCTTTAGATCAACTCATCGAAGTAAACTCCATTGTATTGTATAGAATGATGAAGTGAGTCAAGTGACGCAAACTCAAATCAGTTTTAAAGGTACGTGGTTATTTTAATGTGATTTTGTTCTTAACCAAGCTCTAGACTTTCTCATAAGGTAGTGCCATACTCTTACATAGAGCACAAGATGTGAACATACAACTATACAAGTATATCCTCTTGAGGGTCAGGGTCATGCTAGAGGTAATAGTATATTTGAGGATTGGATGGTTTGGATTTGAAAATATGCTTTATTACTCTAAATACTTAAATTATTTTGTAAAATAAATTGTTTTATAATTTATAGTGCTATTTTATGTTGTAGCCTTTATATTACTAATAATTTACTTATACTAAATATAAAAATAAACTAATTAATAGAACGATTTAATGAAAGATTACTTAATTATCAACCAAATCAGTTCAACAGAACAGTTTAAAAATAAATTATAAGTATACAAGTCAACTCGGGAACAATGTTACTCACCATGCATACGAACTCTTATGGTGGTAAAGTGTTGTTTTTTGTTTTGAAAAGAAAATAGCTTACTCTTAATTATTATTGATAAGAGTAACAAGAAACATAACAATAAAAAGCTGAAACATTATTATAATTATAGCGTTCAATGGTACACTAGCAAGAGACAAAGAATAAAAAAGTTTCATACAGACGCTCATGTTCGCTAACCCTGCAACTATGCAGACTCATACCACAATGTATTTTGCATTTTATTTTATGTACTTCAACCACCTGATTTCCAAGACGCCCAAGACTTCAATTTTCCTCGAAATAAGAATTTCACTGATAATAAGAATTTCATTGATTTGCTAATATCAATACAGATTGACAAGTTTACTTTTAGATGTCATAGTCTTCAATATAAATGTGTTGTGGTTTTTTAGACCCTATGATATGGCTCGCAAGATAAACGCAATTGAAGAGATCAATGATACAAAGGAGACATGGAAGATTGCGGTTAGGGTGATATCACTTTGTTTTGTTCAATCTTCTTCAAAGTTCATTGAAATGGTTTTAATGGATGCTCAGATGTGACTGTCATTTTCTCAATGATTTTATATTACATAATGTATAGCATTATAATTATAATTGTAAAATATTTTACATTGATTTCCACACTTTAGGGACATAAGATACAAGCAGTTGCAACTTGCAAGTAATGATCAGATGGTTCTCTGGAAGTCAAAACTTAAAGAAAAAGAAACATATGTGATGCAGAATTTTTGTGTGCGATGCAACGAAGGGGTATATAAGGCATGTGAACATCTGTTCAAGTTCAGTTCACCAGTGATACAATGCTTAAGCAACAAGATCTCGCTCATATCCCGGCAGATTACTTCCACTTTAAAACTTTTTCTGATATACTAACTTGCAAAATGCACACCAATGTTTTAGTGGGTAAGTATCAAATTATAATCACATGTGAATTTTATTATACAACAAAAATTGATTAGTAAGTTACATACTAAATTTTCAATTCACTAAAATAGATGTCATTAGATCTCTGCATGACTTTGTTAGCGCCAAAGTCATTAGTATCTTTGTTACATAATGCTACATTGAAAAAAGTAGCATGTTTTTATTAAAAAATTCAGCTAATGTCATTAACTTTAATTGCTCCTATTATATTATTATATTAATTATTATTCGTACAATTTATTTTCATCAATTTATTCATTTTGATATTACATCATGTTGTCATTGTAGTGGTGATATGATAACTTGTACTTTATGGGGCGAGTATGCTTCCAAATTAGTGAACTATCGTGAAAAGCATCAATATGAGCTAATTGTTGTCATATTAACACATGCAAAAATCAAGGAACCAGAAGGTTAGATCATTTTGTAAATATTTGAATTATTCATGTCTATGTGCATATTATATAGATAGATCATAGATGTCATAAGTTATATACCTCACCAATATTATAGGATGACATCCTATAACCATTCAAAATAGTAAGTACAACTCTAAATTGCTCATAATTGAAGATGTTGAGCAAACTCAGCAAGTCAAAGACAGATATATCGTCATGACTAATGTTCTCCTAATTACATGTTTTTTATTTTCCATTTATATTTTTTATTATTTAAACATAACACCATGTTGGAATAATAAATGCTTCAAATCAAGCCACATGGGTGAGCCATTAAGTCAAACTTCAAATTCAAGATTTTCTGAGCAAAGGAAACTTACATACAACGTTGTTCTTAACAATATTACTTGTATAAATGATCTTAAAGATGTAATTTCAAAGTTTAAATATTTTTAAACTTATCAAAACACTAAAATATTTTACTAATGTATTAAATATTCTATAGGATACCACTTGTGTCACTGTTGCAAGGTTTGTAGTAGGAAAAAGTGGATGGAGCTATGAAAATTCATGCACTAAAAAGGATGAAGCACACAATAACGCCTTTACATGCAAATTAAATGTGTCGTACAACATTGAGTCTGTTCTAAGTTTTTTTTTAGGAAAAATTGAAAATAATAATCCTAACTATTGCCGGTCCGCTGAAAATAATCCCAACTATTGATTATTTTTGTATAATCCAAACTATATAGACTATCCACCAATAATGGTCCATGACCATATATTACCTCTATAAAAAGTGAATTTTAAATAGAAATTAAGTGTAAAAATTAAAAGTTGAGATTATTTATAGAGATTACTTATTATATCTCATCTCATCCACTTTAGAAACTACAAGAATATATTCATAGGGACCATTATTGGCGGAAGGTCCCTAAAGTTGGGATTATTCTGTAATAATCAATAGTTGAGATTATTATGAGCGGACCGCCAATAGTTGGGATTATTACTATCAATTTTTCCTTTTTTTTATTATCGTGTTCAAATTAATT